TTCCAGTGATCCGAATCTCTCCACTCTTTCTCACCACCTCGCGAACCTCAAATCATTGGTGGAGACGCTTCAGAAGTCCAGAGGTTACGGCCTCAGGTCCTTCTTCACCCGCCGTTTCGCGACTAATTCGGTGTCTCAAGTCGCGGGTTCAATCGAGTCGGAGATTCAAGCCTGGATTGACCGCGAGAGCTTGGAGACTCTGGTTCGAGCTCTTAAAGAGCCCTCAATCGACGAGAACGAATCGATTAAGCTACTGACTCAGTTCGAAAATCGACTTGATCAAGGCTTCAACCGCGAGCTACAGGATCTCATGCTCAAATCCAAGGTGTTTTCGCTGCTCGAATCGATCGTTTGCAGCCCTAATTTCTCGAAAACGATCCGAGAGCACTCAGCGTACGCGATTGGGGCTATGGTCCGTTTCAACAAAGACGTATTCGTCGGTCAAGTACTAACGGGACCCACGATTCACGCTCTAGTTCAAATGGCCTCCTCGCACTCATTAAAAGTCCTCTGTTCCTTGATCAGATTGATTAGGTCTCCGCTGGTCGAGGAGATCGAGTCAAACGGCGACATACCAAAAATCATAAGCTTATTGAATTGCCAAGACCTACAAATTAGGGTACTAGCGATGGATTGCATTGTTGAAATCGGTTATTTTGGGCGAAAAGAAGCGGTGGACACTATGCTGGACGAGGGTCTGATAGACAGGCTAGTGGAGTTGCAGAGGTCGGAATTGGGCGGAGATTTGATCGGATTGGGAAGGCAGACGGCGGAGGAGGGCACAGGGGTGGCCGCCGGCGAGGTGGAGGGAAGGAGAGAAGGCAGAGAAAGCAGAGAGAAGAAGTTTTTGGAGAGGCATCCATTTGCGAGCTGTGTAGCAAGATTTACAGTGCAATTGGAGGTAGGAGAGGGGCTGAGGCAGAGGGAAAAGAGGGCCATTAAGCCTGAAATATTGAAGAGAGTTACAAAAGCTTGTGTTTCTGATGCTGAGGCTGCCACTATAATGGCTGAGGTTTTGTGGGGTTCTAGTCCTTGAATTTCAGATCAGATGGATAAGGTAAGTCACCATTTAATTTGTTTTAGGGCTGGGATGTTGATCTCTGTGGATATGTGCATCTAAGAATTTCATGTTAGAATCTAATAAATCAAATTTATGTAATTAGAAATAGTTGACTGAAATAATATTTATGTAATTAGAAATCGGTAATTGCTGGATTAACTATTTTGATTGAAATAGTTTATTTTTGAAAAATGGCTGTGTCAAAAAAGTGTAAAACTTTTTTTTTTTAGGAATAATATTTTGGTGGGTAAGTAGGTATCAATTTTTTTTCACTTTCATTCCTTTATGCCTTCACCAATGGTTATTATTTTTCTTTTTCGTTTTTAGATTGGTGTGACAGTGAAACGTTGTTTTTTCTATTAAAATATTATTTTTATAGCGAAAGGCTTCTCGGTCCCTCTCTATACTTTCAAATTTGGTTAATTTTAGTATTTATATTTTCAATGTCCTCAGTACTTTTAAAAATCAGGATCAAATTTCGTTAAATATATTGAGTGTAAAAAGTGTGATATAAAAAAGAGATTAGAAATAAAATCAACCGACCAAAATGACCCCTTTTAAAAAATATAAAAACCAAAACGAACTAGATATTGAAATGAACCAAAGTTAGGAGTACATGAATCAAAATTAATATTTTAAAAATATAGAGATTCATACCAAAGCTGAAAGTACTAAAACAAAAAGAGTGTTTTTACCTTTTTTTTTATTATCAAATTATCAATTTTCTTTACAAACTAAAAAAATTGACATATATCTCAAACCAATAAGTTGCAAGTTCGATTCCTCATCTCCACACGTTGTATTAAAAAAATATCTATATATCAAATATATTACAGGTCCATCTTTAATCTATATGCTCATCGTAAAGTATTTGTTATGAAGTTATTAAACTCAAAGAATTGATAACCTATATTCATGTCTAGCATTCTCTACTTGCATCATCCATGTTAAATTTCTGAAATCAATTTTTAATCGGTAATTACTCGATTGAAATAGCCAAGTACACTTGATTTTGATTAACACTAGTTATTTTATTAATTCGCTTAATTTGTATGAGAGAACCCTCGTGAAACAAAATACAAACATCTAATTGGCTTTACAAATCGAGAAAAAAAAAGGAATGCGGAAATATCAATAAATATCCGATGCGATTCAAGTAAACATAATTAGTTTTCTTTTTTTTTTTTTCCTTCAGAAATTTAAAACGTAATTAGTTTGTAATACGGTTTCAATTTCATGTTGAAAGAAAAATAACAATTTTGTTAATATAAGTAGTTCTATATATAATTATTAAATGTTGCATCATTTTGAAAATATTGTTTTTAAGAATGTTATATATGATATTTCATTACCAACACAAGTATAATGGTTAATGTTTAGGACATAGTAAACTTTGTTAATGGAGATTTCCCTTCATCTGTGGCCCAAGAGGCCTTTTTCTAATAAAGTTATTTCTTCGTTAAAAACTGATATTTAGGACGTAGTAAGTTCAAATCTCTACCGCCGCACGATATCATATTTGATTATATTGATTAATTATAGATTATACTCCGAATAAAAAGAAAAGGGCTAATGGTTATAGGCCTAGTTTTTTTTTTAAATTGAGCCCAACCGGGCCCATCTAGTGGACCTAAATAGGCTCAATATCCCATTATACCAACTTCCACTACCAAAGCTCCACATCCCTTACTTTTTTTCCCCTCTAACATGTATATTCTTTTATATAAATTATTTGCATATAAAAGTTTCTTCTAACATGTATATTTTTTTATATAAATTATTTGCATATAAAATTATATACAAAACCCTTCGAAAAAAACTGAACTAAAAAAAACCCCTAGAAAACAATAGAATATTACAAAAATAATTTCATGATTAGTAGTTACAGTATGCCAAAGCGATCATATAGTTTAGCAGTAATTGGCATATATCTCCCACCAAAAGGGTATGAGTTTAATCCCTTACCCTCACATGTTATACTAAGAAAAAAAAAATAAAAATTATGGCGTGTCAAAATCTAAACATAATTTAATTTGTTAAGTCATATATTATAAATCAAAATGTTAAATATTTGAATCCACATTCCCACATATCGTTGAATTTAAAAGAATGGTTAAGACATCTTGTAAGAGGCATAGTTTTTAATATCCATTTTATGTTATATAATATTTATAAAAAAATGGTGAAATTATGGACTTTAGTAATCTCTTTGTTTTCAAAATAATGGTTTTTGAATTAATTCATGACTTTTTGGTTGGAGATATGACACCTTAACCAATTGACCTATGTTCAAGTTCACCTCTAAAATTATGTTATAGGACCATTCTACTTACATTTTGATAAAAATATACTAACATAATGTAGCTCGATAATTAATACATCAATATTATTTGTACGGATTGAAGGTCTATGAATCAAATCTCTATCATCGTAATATAGTGATTCTTAATTAAAAAAAATTAATAACGAAATTATTCATGTAGCTAATTCTACATCTAATCAATCAAACTATAAAAATTATGATTTGAAAAAATTGGTGAATCACAACATAACATAACTAACTTGATAAGACATTAATTACATTTCTCAAACTTTTTTTTTAGTAACAACAATTTGGGGTATGGAGATCGAACCTCATACTTCAAGAAGAACAAAGTATGTACCAATTACATTTCTCTAACTTTAAATACTATAATAAAAATATAAACATATATGCTATTTTAATTTTTTTAGGGACACTTATAAATATAGCAAAAAAAAATTTAGTAAAATAAGCAAAATAGCAACCACATCTAGTTTTTTCAAATATAGCATTTTTTTTTTCAGAAAAAACGGAGGTCCAATTATAAAATTACAAATTCACCATTTAATATATCTGATATATATGTGTAATATATCTGACCACTGATATATATTTATGATATACCACGGATATAATAATGATATACAATTGATTTACTTATGGTATAACAATGATATCTACTCAACTTCTAACATGTCTTACACTGATATACGTATGATAACCATTGATTTACCACGCTGATACAAACATATATATGTGCAATGTATCTAATTTATCATTGATATATAAATGATATACCACTTATATAACTATGATATCTAGTGATACAATTTCTTATATCATTATATCATTTACCACTAATACAACACTTATATATATTTGATATATACTTAGTATACTTATAATTTACCACTTATATACCTCTTATATAACTATTATATATACTAATATAATTATAATACACGTGTGTTGGTATAATACTACTATATTCAATATTTTTTTCATATGAAAATAATTGTGCAAAATATTTTATTTTTTATTTTTGAAATATAAAGTTATTATATAAAAGACTTACGCAGACCATGCACGTCCAAAAAGACAAGTTAAAATTTTGATATACTTTATAAATTTAAACAGCTGATATACCACTAAAAAGTAAATATTTGATATACTTTATATTTAATATATCAGTTGGAAATATATTTAGCATATCATAAATTAGAAGTACATCAGATATATATTATATGTATAATACGTACATTTGATATATATTAGTGGTATATTTGATAATGTATATCATGAGTACATCTGATATTGTATATTAGGGATACATCGAATGTATATAAGAAGTATATAAGAGTTATTTCGGATGTAAATTAGATATAGATTTGATGTATATCATATACAAATTTATATCGGATGTATATCAGATATAGATTTAATGTACGATATACATTAGATGTATATCATATATAAAGTAAATATATATCAGATATAGATACACATCCGCACATATAATGATAAAATTAGAATAATAAAAATTCTCAAAATAAAAATTCAAATATTTTACTATATTTAAAATTTTGGAAAATTTTTTAAATAAAGAGAATATTTTTGCTTTGTTACAGTAGGAAATGTACCTCGCAGTCTCGCCCAGAATACGCCGGGCCGATACTCGTAGCCCATAGTCATTAAAAAGCAAGCCGAAGCGCGAAGACCGCGCAGAATATCGCCGATTTCAATCGCCGGCCGGAGACGCTCAAATCCTCCGGTTAGTTTCCGGATCTCTATCATTTCGCGCTCTTAAACGAGTACTACGATGGAGGCCGGCCGGAATCATCATGGTTCAGTATTGGAACGGAGCCTCAAATGGCGGGAAGAGGAAGATTAAGAAGTAAATGCGTCGGAAAACGGAGAAATTTCACCGCTTCAGTTTAAAATATGGAAATGCGATGAAGCCTCATGATCCGACAAAATGTATCCGTTGCATTCTTTGAATCACGTCTTGTTGCGTCCTATTCCTCCCAGCATTCTTTTTTGTCTTTTTCTTTCTTTTGATTCTTCTTTTTCTTTTGCATTACTTTTGGGTTCATCCCTTTATGTCTTTAGTTTTACTTTAAATCCATCCTATGATTGAGCTGGAATTCCGAGTTTGATTTGTACTGTTTCACCATGCAATTGGAAATGAATGAGGTTTTTAACTTTTGAGCTGGGCCACTTTTCTTTATTAGATAATGCTTATGCTTTATCAATTGTATTATGCGCTCTAATGCTCTGGTCATTATTGAAATTCTCTCCGGTTCCGGGTCCCACGGAAGGAACATGGACGCAAGGTTTGGAGATTTGTCACTTTAATCTCTTGGCCTCTACTTTACTTTACGTTTCCTCTTTGAATGAGAAAATGTCGCACTTTTTCTGTTTTCTTTTTCCCTGTCGTGCAAGCTATAGAATGATGCCATGGTGGTATGTCCAAATTAGATGTAACAGTCATTTGAATTACGCATCCATCAGTATGCATCTTCTCCAACAATCAGAACACATATATGCATTACTGTTTCTCTAGAATATTGTTTCGGGTCCAAGCCTAGCGGTACAGTGTTTTCTGCGGAAGTTTTTGGCATATTTGGGTTTAATGTTATACCAAAAGGCCATTATCCTGTGGTGAACCTAGCTGGTGCACTAGTTCAAAAGTGGATAAAGAGTACTCCATTTTGAAGTGCACGAATGCTTTATGTAGAAATATGAGCCCACCAAATCCTATATTTAATCTGCTATCATCTTTTCATATCGACGATTGCATGATAATCGACTGATGTGTACGTGGTTAAAAGTCCATGTTTTCCATAAATGGGAGAATCTGGCATGAACATGAGTTATTGGAGGGAAGGGGGGAAAGAGATTGAAGGGGTATAGATGCAAAAATAGCTCTGCAGGCAGAAGTTTTTCATTCATTAATTGTGATGAAAATGTGTTGGAGATACAAGCTTGGGTTGCTTCTCATTCTTAGTGTTGTGGTCATGTGGGTTTCCTCTGCCGAAGTTACCCAGGTAAGTTTCACTCTTTTCCTTTTCATGAACTGGCATTCATTATTCTGATTTTGATGTAACGAGGGAACGATGTAGAGAGAGTTCAGTTAGTTATTAATGTTAATTCAACTTTATTTTCTGAGCTGTTCTGTTAGTATCATTAGAATTATGCACATTGATTAGTCATAGGGATACTTTGAATGCACGGTATATAATACTATGGGCGACCGACTCTTTGAGCTTCTATTATAGCGTTAATTGCTACAAATTTATTTCTAAGTTGGCCGACTCGAGTCCAAACTATTTTCTCGAGCAGCTAGAGGCTTCTGGAAAGGTGGATTTTTGTAAATTTTAAAAGGAAATTGTTTGGTTACAAAACTTCAAGCATCGATCTCAGTCATGATTATCATGACTGCACTATAAATCTGCCTAATAAGATTAGCGATGACCTCTGATATGCTTCGATTCCATTAATTCGTTTGCAACTACTGCATGAGCATTTCTTTGGGTTGTTGTTGTACTCGTTCATTATTCAACACACTTGTTGACTTTTCAACATAGAGCTTCTTTTCAACACACTTGTTAATTCGTTTGCAACTACTGTATGAACATTTCTTTGGGTTGTTGTTGTACTCGTTCTCGATAAATGTACTGCATCTAGGCCAACTGCTTCTATTTGATAGAAAAAATTGTAACTTGGAAAGTAATGAACGTGGGTAGTTTCAACTGTCAGATTATACTGGTAGAGTCTTTTTATTTCTTTACTGAGATTCATGTTCCCTCCTCAGTCCTATTGTTGTTGTATATCATAAGTTTGGAATCATTCTTGACTTGTGGGGGCGGGGGCAAACAGAATTATTTTCATTATCATTTTTGGGACCAATATTTTTTCTGGAATGAAACTACCTCTATATATTGCAGTTGGTTCATGATTGATGCATGTGGTATACTCCCTTTTCAACATGTACTTGCAATGTTTTCTATGTCATGTTCAGTATTTATTACTTGAATTCTCAATCCGACTCATGCAGCAACTGACCAGTATGTTTTGACAGAGTATTTTTGCAGATTATGAGCAACCATTTGCAGTATCTTATGTTACAACATCACTTTTGATAGTTTATCTTCCAATAGCTTTGCTTAAGGATTGGTTACTGACTTTTTTGTATCGCTGCGATCCTAAATGTGGTGAAAATCCCAATGCGGTTGACCAATCCTCCATAGAGTTGCAGAAAAATGAGGTGAATCTTGCTTCTGAAATAGAACATCAAGGACAGTTAAGTTGTAAAAACTGTACCATAGACATGTATAATAAGGATGAGGGAAAACCATTGGTCGCTATACATATAGGTAAAGAGAACACACTGAAAAAAGACCGGAAGTTCACTGCAAAGGAAGTTGCTGCTTTTGGCTTTTGCATTGCTCCTCTCTGGTTTTTAACAGAGGTGAGATACTGATTTCTTGATTTGCAGATTCTAAATCTAGTTCTCATGGCTAACATATTTTCTTGGTGGGCTAGATCTGACGAACTTGATTCTTGTTATTCATGATCTAAATAAGATACTAGTTTTAATGTCTTTGTCGATGTATGGTTTTGGACTCTAGAATCTTAGACATAACCGTAGTATCCCCAAGGCGTTGTCATTCTGAAAAATCAAAAAGTTCTATAACATAATTTAATGGCTTTTGTTGTGTAATACTTAGGCACTTATTGGTAAAATAAACTTATAAGCAATGTGATGAGGAGATTACCATAATATTAAGGATATGTGTCTATATTAAGAGGTGAAGTGCATTACCATGCGTCATTTTAGCTTATTGGACTTTATCTTCTGATGTTTTGTTTTTAATAGTGTATCTAATCAATATATGTAGGAAGTGGAAAGGAAGAGAAAATTGAGAGAAGAAGAGAAGACTTTAAAAACAAGCTCAATATCAATTATTTTCAAATCACCAGAAGTTCCCTAACATGTTACAATGGAATATTATTTGAAAGATAAAGATTGTGATTATATGAATACTAATAGAGCTTGATAAAATTTCAAGTAAATTAGAGCCTAAAATATTTTAGGGTAGATTTCATTTGGGCTTAATAATACTTTTTAAAAGACAGTTTAATTAAACAAATCATACATGGAAAACTAGGCATTTATTCACTATAAGGCTGGACCATGACTTAAGCAGTTGAAAATCTATTGTGATATCTGCAGTATTTAACAAATGCTGCACTTGCACGAACAAGCGTTGCGAGTACCACACTGTTATCCTCCACTTCAGGGTTATTCACTCTTTTGATTGGTGCATTGCTGGGTGAAGACACAATAAACATCGTTAAAGTTGTCTCTGTTGTTGTTAGCATGGCTGGCGTTGCGATGACAACACTTGGGAAGACTTCAGCTGCAGATGAGAAAAATGGGAATGGGTATGTTAGTTCTCCTCTGCTTCGGTGAATTTATTTAGACCAGTCCTGGAGGGCATGTTTTAAAATAAATGGGGGCATTATCAAACATTTTTATCGAAGTTTGGTTCTAATCTTGATAACAAATGGATAAAATGGTCTTCAGAAATAAGAATCATGCACTTCTGGGGAATGTCTTTTCAGTCCTCTCGTCAATGACTTATGGCCTGTTCACTGGTTAGATATCTGAACTTCTCTTTTGATAAGCAGTTGACATAATCTTCTGCAACAGACATATTTTCCATACACTGATTCATATGGGCATTATCCCTTGGATTCTGCAGTGCTTCTCAAAAAGTTTGCTGGAGGAGGACAGAATTTAGATATGCAAAAGTTATTTGGCTGTATTGGACTTTTCACCTTTGTTGCTCTTTGGTGGCTAGGTAAGAGTAAAATTTTCTCTAGTTTAATTATCAAATGCCTTATTTTGTTTTATTTTATTTTCTAATTATTGAGCTGCACTTTTTGTTTCTTTACGATTATTTGAAGGGAGGGTTGGGTGTGCTACACAAGGATAATTCTGATCATTTTCACAGTTATAGCTGCTCTGTCCAAAAGGATGAAACATTTTGCTTCAACATATCTTTTTTTACAAAGAATGGTTTCATTGAAGAATACAAAAGGGGAGGACAAAATCCTCCCATAAGCTAAGGAATTTCAAAAAAACAAAAAAAAAAAAGATTTTTAATTTGCTCCTATCAATATCATTAATGGTTTCATTAAAAATTAATCTCTTTTGTATGGCATGAAACCTACTTACGCTAGAACTTACATTGTACATTAAATATTTCTAAATTTCCCTCTCTTCAGTGTGGCCTCTTACTGCAATGGGCATTGAACCCAGATTCATGTTCCCCCACTCTGCTAATGTGGAAGAAGTTATTCTTGTCAATGCTTTTGTTGGAAGTTTTTTGTCCGACTATTTCTGGTAATCACAGAAGAAAGCTCTTTATTTTAGACCTGATTTTTTTCTTTCTTTTTGTTCAGCATTTAATCATCTCTGTTTTTCTGTCTCCCTGATTTATAATTTTACTGTACACACAGGGCATTGGCTGTTGTTTGGACTTCCCCTCTGGTAGCTGCTCTTGGTGTTTCCCTTACTATTCCTGTAGCAATGTTGGAAGATATGGTCATCCATGGCCGGCAATATTCGGCAGTTTATATCATTGGGTCAGCCCAGGTAATTAAGTAATTTGATTCCTTCAAAAAACTAAATGGGTTATTATCTTACTTTAATTCACATATTACAAGTTCTCTTAATTGGATTTAAATTTTGAACAATTGGAGGGAGAATATATATATATTTTTAGTACAACATGTGGGGTGAAATATCGAATTCACAATCTCTTGGTTGGAAATATATGCCAATTACCGCTAAGCTATCTTTGTTTTAACACTTTTTGGTTGCTAATTGTGACACCATAGTCCTGCAATATCATTTATATCCTTTCAAATGGTATTCTTGGAATCTCCCAGTGAATTTTAGTTCAAGTTTTTTCCAATCAAACATTTCAATCATACTTTTATTAGTTGTAACTTGTAATCAATTTGTCCTCAAACATATTCAGAATGCCTAACCATCATTACTTTTTCTAAATGAAATAGTTCAGGACCATCTTTTTTTCTCCGGAGAAAATTAGTAGTATAATATCAAGAATTCTAGATTGTAGGGAAAGAGCGAGAAGGCAATAACTAGACTTTTTGAATGTTAATATATAACTTAAACAGATGAAAGAAAAAGGATTTAAGTTTTAAAAGCTATTGTATAAGGATTAACTATTAAGTAAATGTTATTTCAGTGTTCTTGAACTCATGAATTCTTGGTCAGAGATATGTGCCAATTACCACTTAGCTAAGTTAATGTTGGCAACTATTAAAGATAGCTGGTAGCAAAAAATATTAAATAAAAAAGAAAAAGAAAAAGGGAGAGAGGAAGAGTGAGAGAAGGGGTTGGTAGCAAAATTAGATGACTTTGAGACTTTGGAAAAATCCTTCCGAACGGGATAAGAGATTGCCAATTTCATCATCATTATTATTATTATTCTTTTTCCTTCTCTTAAATCTTAATTGAAGAAAGAATTCAGAAATAAAATCAGAAGTAGCAGTAATTCCCTGGACGATGCAATTCATAATTCAACATTTTGTTTGTTCTGGGTCTGAATCTCAAATTTATCATTCTAATTAGCAGTGAAGAAAATCATTGTTTACTGCTATAAATGTTGTGTGTTGAAATTTTAACAGCACCAAGAAAAGGGAAGTTCCCTATATTTCTGATGCACAGAATTTTTCTTGATATAGGTATTCTCAGGATTTGTAATAGCAAATCTTTCAGATTGGCTCTCTCAAAAACTGGCATCCAAGCTCTGAAGAAGAACTTCCCAACTCCAATCAATTTCTTTCGGACCTCTATAATGTATGTTTTCTAGTTCTACACTTCTTTTAAAAGTTGTTTTTTCCCAAAATTCCAATTTCTAGAAAGGAATGGTAATGGATTCATAATGTTTTCCGCCTGCTTTGGTTGACAGAATGTTGGCATCTCATTTCAATTGGTCAAAAGCTTTGGTGAAGAAGATTAATTTCCCTGTTAGATCAAAAGTTGAAGGATTTACAATGAATTGTGTTTATTTTAACTTGTTTGGCTGATTTGTATGAAAGTGAAACAGGCCAGTCTTGTTTTGATGCAGTTCTTTGGACTTATTACAGGAGACAAAATGCTATTTGGCAACTTTTAGTCAAGCTAAGGAAGCCATTTCTGACAAGACTTGAATCAATGGAATGGGTTCTCTTCTTTGTCTTTAGCATACATCCACTCCTTTAGCTTTGTA